TGCAAAAGTAACAGTTCTTCACAACAGTCGTTGGACTAAATAGTCACATCTGGCCTCTGGGTGAATGAGACGGGTATGTTTCAAATGCTGATGTCACGTAGGAATAAGATGGCATATTGTAGCCGTAGAGTGCTGGTTACATCCTCGGCAGATTGAACAGATCCGTTTGTTGAGAACAGGCAGGAAACGCTACACTGCAATTTCTGGAATCGCTTCAAATGATTGTTCAGAGGATTATTATTAAAACAAAGCATTTCCGCTAAGTTCGGTTTGTGCTCGAAGTTGTCCCCACGGAGTATCGTGGTACAGTGATTAAGCTGGAGCACATGATTGCTGCAGTTGTCAGAACTAGGGTTTGTTGTGTAGGCAAGCGACGTTGCGTCGCTTACCGCCACCAGTTGTCTAGTTCTGGCTAGGATGAATGATGGCGCACTTGTGGAACGAAGATGCCTGATTTCCTACGTCAAATGACTGAACATGCCAACAAACTTCAACAAGGTAATATCAATGGACATGTCATCCGAAATTGTCAGGTGGCTTCACTAACATGTTTTGTAAGTAGGTCGTAAAGTGTGGTTGTCCGAAATTAGTCAGAATGCTGCTGTAGATTATCTGTACAACACGCGAGGACATAGTATAGCGATTTGATCACCCAGTCTTAGATGACTATCTATCCTTGTTCTGTCGATCATTAGCCCCGTATTCCGAAACACAAAATCGATGACGAATGGTTCATTTTTGCTCTGAATCTGGTGATTTAACTGATATGATCAGTACTGTGTTTTTGAAACAACTGTACATTTAGATTTATACAATCATTGTGAAAGTTGATATAAAAAATATTTAAATAAAATTAAATACTCGCCAATGAAGTGTTAATGCTTCAAGTTTTATACATAATGTCACAAAAGAAGACATAATACACAAGAATTTGTGTCACAAAATGCACGATGTCATTTTCAGTGAGTAATCGTTTCTGGATTCTAAGAGTTGAAGAATGCACATCCAACAATATTCGGAACTGCTGTCTCCATGATATAATCCGGTAAACTGTTTCAAGCATCGACTACTCGCAGTTCAAAGCACAAAGGATGAAGTACCCGCTGCATATTTGGATCCGTAAGGTAATGCTGGTGTCCACATGTGTCCTAAGTTATTTGCAGCTAGAGCAATGGTCTTAGCCTACGGAATTCCCCTAGATGTCGTGTGTGATATATCATGATGAGATTGCTCCGTACACAATTCAGCGTGGCGTGTGCACTCACTCGTGCTCGCACCTGACTTCATACGATGAAACCCGTACACTACGAATGAGCCTGGTTACAACGTGCAAAACCCGTTCGATTTTCTATTCCTCTCCTCGGGCATTCGAGCAATAGGAGAGCGAGCTGTTCTCTAGCCTTTGTACTATGATTAATGAGAACAGGCGATTAGCGGTCTTTTTATACCAAATGCAGGAGCTGCATTTGAGCGCCCAGAGCATGCTCATTTTGTTTCCGTGTAGCCTGCTCATGTTATCCACGGGCTTCAAATAACATTGTACTAGAAAGCTTAAATCTTTCACGGAAACTGTGGGATGTGGAAGTTAGCCGTCAATGTTATAATTTCGGTTGGGAAGCAGAGTTAGTAGGTTTATTCTCGAAGAAGCTAAAACTGTGATATGTTCATGGGGATATTGTGGAAGGCATACAATAGATACAAGGTCTATCCTGCCACCTCTGACGTTGGATGTACAATAACGGGCCACAAGTTGAATTTCTAAACTGAAAATAAGCTTAATAGGTTCGTCAGATGGTCGAAAATTGCTTCATCTGTCTCTGTGGCTCAAATGATAGTTGCACATCATCCAGATGTCAGGAAGCGGTAAATCAGTTATGATGATCTTGACATTCATCCATCTCGCGGTTCTTAAGAAGGTCCAAAGTCAGAGTCTTGGGTATGCAGAAACCAAGCAAGTTTGATATAACTGATTTTCTTGAGCGTATGCAAAAACACTTTGGTCAGGTATTAATAGAATAAAGCTGAAAACAGACTAGTCTTAAACCTTTGCTATGCTTACACTGTTTTTCTGTTCATTAAAGTGGGCTTTATTTTCGTGAAATTGTGAAACCAAATATACTTTTATCCCTATACAAGCCCGTAATCCGGTTACAAAGCAAAACAATTGCACGGATGTGGCACGTGACAGTACTATTTGACGTATGTCAAAACGCCGGATAGCAAAAGGATTGCAGGCCATCCTGGGTACGATGCAGTAATTCATTGTTGAAGAAATAGGCGAAAACTGGTCGAGCCCCACGTGTAAGTTGTGTGGCTCGTTATCCGTTTGCATTCCTTATTCACATCTAATGTAAACGAGAAACTATTTGGCGGCTAACAAATGCATGTTTGTGAACTGTTACCTTTGATTGGTCCGTTTACAAATTGTGGCCTCCCAATTGCAACTAGCTGCCGAACCTCAGCCCCCTCATCTTCGTTTGTCTCCGTACTTTGCATTAAATTCCTACTTCGGTGATTCCGATTTAAGGAATTTACAGAGCTAACCAAAGTCATGTTACTAGTGTACCGGTTCCCAGTTTGGAGATATGTGTCAGCTTCAGGTTGTGAACAGATGGGTTCGGTTTTAGACGATTCATACAGCTACTGGATAGCTTCATTAGAAATCACAAATTTTGACTACTAATTCGCGGTTTTGGTGTACACATTAACTAAAGCATGTACCGAGTTGGAAACAACGGACAAGGCTTAGATCTAGAATTATTTCCTTTACTTCCTGCTTAGGCGAACCAGAACATTGGTCCCAAGACTTTGCCGATGGACTCTCAGAGATATGGTATGATACGCTAATATGAATTAGTCAACTTTGATGAAAAATGAACCTGCTGTTTCCTCCGAATGCAGGTTTTTACGATTTTTACAGTTGTGTTCCACTGATATAATGTTAACATTATTGCGGCAACCTGCCAGAGTGCCTGAATGTTAGGAGTTACTAGAGCTAAACACTCATTTGACGCATGTATGAAGCAGCGTGTAAAATATACTATCCAAGTATGGAAGCTTTTAGAGGGCCACAAATCCACAGTCCATTTTGTTACACATCGTATTGCAACTATGCTGTTCAGAGCCTGCGGAGAGAACTCATAATCACGTAGCAAACCTTGAAATGACGCAGCCTCAGTTACCGCTATACACATAACCCAAACCTGAAAAGTTGGCATTCAATGTGGATTATTCGCTGCAATCTAACCAGTTGGCAAAGATCTTTCCTTGGATTATCAACCCTGGTGAGTTTGGGCACCGGTGCTACAGTTTCCCACATTATTCCTATAAACAGATGAATGAAGGATAAACTAACGACGTTTCGCGAAGTTGTTCGTAGCCGCATCTTTCAATGTTATTCGAAAATTTACTTACGTCACACCTCTTGCGAAACTTTCATTGAGTCCATTAACCTGGGTTTATTTGACCAGTACTTCTATATTTTCCTCATTTCTCATCATAAATATCACACCGAACTTTCGATAAATTCCATTTTTCGTGATCATTTGATGCTAGAATCAGTCAGACATGCAGCACACATCCAGGCAAGCATTAGACGACTGTTTAGTCTCATTGGACACGCCAATAGCGCGCATACGTTGTATCTATGCTGTTACTCCTACCAGCCAGCGACTTATGTCAATACACATTATAAGCCTACATGTCAATAGAGGATGAGCCGTGCTATATCGCAGTTAGATATGAGTCTTTGCGGGCCACCGTCATCACCCGTGGCTTAATGGCCCAAGTCGCGAACTCATAAGAGTAATAGCATAGGTTTGACTCCGGCTGGATTGAAGGAGTGCGTGTCAATGGGAAGTGCCAAAATGCCGAAGCCGCTGTTTTGCTCTTTGCTGGCTGTGTGGTGGCTGTCTGGAATAGTGTAGCTGAGACAAATTTGAAAACTTCAATAAATCTATGACTTGCTGTTATGGCTAGGAGCCGACCTCTGTGGCGTTCGTGCTGTGAATTTCTCGGTCCCATCCCGTCTCTCTTAGCCTCCCCCTCCAACCGCCATCTCACTAGTTAACCTTAAATAAATTCGCATAGTATTTTTTGTTACTACATACTAGCCGGCAGATAGCTTACCGGAGCTATGCCCATCCGTTACCGGTAGCTCAGCTGACTTGCTCCTGTTGCATGTTCTCATTTTTTCTTTTATGTATTGCGGCACAGTAGCTGAAGTGTTTCCCACCTCTAGCGAACTTGCATCATGATATCATGAATAATCGATAACCCACTTAGCAGCTTACATGCCACCTAGATTAGCGGCGGATTACAAAGTTGTAGCTCCTGAGTAGACCTGCCCTCTGCAGGTTCGCAACTGCATGACAGTGGAAGATGAGCAGCGTTGTATGGTAGCTAAACGTAAGTCATGGTGATCCGCCGTGGTCACCCATGGCTTACTGAGATAAGTTACTGACTCGTAAATGCCTGCGTTTGAGTCCGGCAGTATTCGCCGAGTCATAAAATTAAAAACGACCGTGCATCGCATTCATTTTTGTTTGTTTGCTGTCTGCTTGAGTCTGGGTGTGACATACCGTGTTTTTAAACCTAAGAATTTTCCTGTTGGCTGCATTAAATCTGTTTCATTTTGCAGGACATAGAATTCCGCCGAAATAGCGAAAATTAGCTATGCGGTAGCGTCAGTTAGGCTTGGAAGCGCTTTATAATTAGTACTTTTCTTTCATGTTTTAATTTACAAATAAAATCTATAATGACACTGCAATGGGATGCAACTCCTTAATCGGTAGCTGCTTAAAACCTTCTGCAACACTTCATACATCCAACGATATAGCCCTGTATGTTTTATAAGGTATTTTCAGTGGGCGCACCACTTGTTCGAACTCGGAAATTTAACTAAAATATGTAACCAAACGTTGGACTGATAGCTTACTGTTTAGCGATGATGTCTCTCACAGCCTACCGTTGGGTACAGAAAAGCACTAACGGGTTTCTTTTGGTTATCCAAACTTTATCACAGTTATAAATAACAAGCACAATGAGCAAAACATATCTGTTTAAAAGAAAGCATCAATGTTTACTGGTCCCCTTAGGAACCTTTATGTACTGAACTTCAAATTGCTATCTACTAAGAATTGATAATCAGTCCAAGTACATAGTTACTTCTTTGTGAATTAGGTGTAAGTTTCTGTAGTACATCCATTGCATTACTTTCACGTGGTCTGCACTGAGGAAAGTAATCTCTGAACCGAACAGAATAAGGACCATCCAACGAGTGTAAACATGTTGAACACACATGTTGATGCTGAAATTGAGTAAGAAGGAATTGTAAGTGGTGTGACAAGCTTCACAGCAGGGAGTAAAATAGCCGGTCGGATTTAAGAAAACTACTTGCATATACTAGAAACAGTGTTACTGTAAACTTCGATTGACGACATACGACTAATCAAATTCTTGATGTTAACTCATTTGTTCCTAATTCAGGTGCTTGTAGAATCTCTTTTTAAGTTTTTGCAATAGCCAATAGCACATAGATACACCTACAGTAACAAGTATTTTCATATTTTCGTAATAATGCGAAGACTGACTTTACAGGGGGCACACACAACTAGGCGCTGATAACTGATGGCATTTAATAAGAACAAATATGTCATAATCTAGTCAATAGGAAGTTCATGTACTGTATTAGAGATAAACCAAAGTAACTTTTAGGCGCAATGAAAATCTAAAAAATTCAATACTTTTGCGTGAACATGAACAAAGCATTCAGTATTGGTAAATTTTTCCGTTACATTATGCTTCATTTATTCATTTTTACAACTTTTATTTTAGACTACAGATTATTTGTTTGGTCTTTCCAATCGACCTGCTCATGCGAACTTCGTTATCTCTTCGCCAAACGACTACGGTCGCTCTGATTTGGCGTTAAAGTTGAAAATTTCCCTTTAGAATGTCACTTGAACGGCATTCCTTAATGCTTTTATGAGTGTGAAAATTAGTTTTGTTATTAAGTGGTTCAACTACTCTAGAATGCAATGACACATTCGACATTCTGTTTGCCACGATATTTCGTTTCATGTAGTTTTGAATATTTATAAAGCCAAATTACATATTCGATTGTAATGATCTGATAAACACTGTCAAATATAATAGCTAGATACTGGTTGTATTGAAAGCTTGGTTGCATTTTGCTGTTACCATTTATGACAAATTCTTTTGAAACGTTTTGTTGACATGGTTGCTAAGCACCAACCCGCAGAGCTGCGAACCTGAAGGAAAGGCCTTCACGATTAGCCAAGGACCGGTTCATTTGAGCTATAACCAACGTGATTTTGTATATCCAATGGAAAATGCGTGGGATCGTATCACTATTTATCAACCATTAGAAAATGAACAGCTTCGGTTCTCCGCACGGTTTGTAGGCCAGAAAGTGTGTAAGATTGATTCCACTGTATCTCAAGTCTGACAATGAGTATTGTTAGCGTTACCACTAACTAGATTCTTAGATGTAAGACAACGATTTTTTCGCACGCAATTATCCTATTAATCATGTGGTGAACAGCCACAATTTACGGATGAACATGACCTTTCAAGAACCCAGTTAGTCACCTATGAGAATAAAAGTCTTATGTCTCGTGCTTTGTTGGGCTTGACAATAACGACGGTCATTTACCCTGGATGCTTCATTATTGCAACCGCCGGATAGGCGTCTTTGTTGATATAGGATTTTTACCATCTTCCGTTTGTTTGTCTCATTCGCCTAGTCAAACACCAATGCAAATATCGTAAGGTCAAGAACCCAAATTAAATTATATATGCTGCTGTAATTTATCAAATGAAGTGTAAAATTATGAATTTTCCTGCATTGACCGCAACACCAGTAATATTGGTGTTTTACGTCAAGACCAAGCTTATTTAATTTATAGTGTTAATCTGTCCAATATCAGAGTACACTAACTATTCCAGAAAATGTCTATCCGAAATGCACAACTGTCCTGGAAAGCCTTTAAGGTATGCAGATTTTTAAGTTTATTTTCTGTTTTTTCTCTGTAGGTTTGGAGAACCACATCTTGGCGAAGGTTTCTCAGGAGCGTGACCTGGGTGTATTGGTGCAGGAAGATCTCGGGTGTTCAAAACAAGCAGAGAAGGCGACGAGAACCGGCAATCAACACTTCGGCCTTCTTCGCAGAGCCTTCGGTCGGTTTGAACCCTCAATCTTTCCCCAAATGCCTAACGCCTACGTGCGACCTCACGTGGAATATGCTATTCAGGTGTGGCAGCCTTGGCAGAAACAGGATCTCGTTTCTCTCGAGACTCCTCAACGAAGGGAAACCAAGAATGTCAGGGGCCTTTTTCATCTGCCGTATCAGCTTAGACTGAAATCTCTAAGAATCTACAGCAGTTGACATCGGCTTTTGCGGGGGGATCTCATAATGGTTTACCAGATTCTGAAAAACCCATACCACATTTGTCGTCCGCTGCTGGAACTGAACCACAACACTAAACTAAGAAGTCACCCTCTGTAACTGACAATTCAGTATAGCCGGCTTGAATGCCGCAAAAATTTCTTTTTTCTCCGCGTGTGCCAGTCTTGGAACGCTCTCCCTAATTATGTCGTCTCTGCTCCCAATCTGGCGATATTTAAAAAACGTCTTGACGATGCATTTTTTCACTTACATTTCATTTTATGACTTGTCAGCCAGGGGCTACAATACGCAATCAAACGGTGTCTTGCCAAACGCCTAACCAATGAATTGATGGAATTATACGTTTAATACGCGAAAACCTCCGCTATTCCACATAAGTCTATGGTGAGTCCACCACAACGCTTTTCACTTTATCATGCAATTGATTTTCGCAATAATTTCCATCCCACGGGACTTGTTCAGCAACGCTTTTTTACCCGTAATAAACCATTGTTCCATTGTTCCATTGTTCTACCTGCGCGTTTCATGTTTGGTGTCGTTGTTCCACTTATTGCGTGCTTGTCGGGCTTTGGTTCCTTTTCTAGCAACCTCTTACCGTCTTGCGTGATGCGGTGCCTGATGTTCACCCTCACTGGTTTTTGTTTAGCACGTATCAAGCGCAATCCGTGGTCCTTGGCTAAATTGTAATTAGAATGGTACTCGGCTGCATGTTGGTCCGGTACGGAAGCAGAACTACGGGCAATGCTTCCTCCCTTGTCAAATTTATCCACATCTTCATGGTTCGGTTGAACCGCTCTGTCTTTCCGTTGGCCTGCGGGTTGTACGGTGAAGTGCGTCGCGTCTGGATGCCCCACTTGCTCAAAATCGCCTTAAATGCTTTCGAATCGAAGCAGGGCCCTTGGCCGGCGAGAACACCTTGTGGTATTCCATACCTTGCTGGCACATCGAATTCGTATGCCTGCGACCAGGTCTCGCCTGTTCGAGCCTTGATTGGTATGGCTTCCACTCAGAGAGTGAACTGGTCCTTTATCACTAGAACGTATCTGTTTTCTCAGTGCCTCACTCGTAAGGGCCCAAGGACATCCAGTCCCCAACACTGAAGTGGCTTATTGAATTCTCTCGATCGCATAGGTGGTCTCAGTGTATTTATATCTCGACTCCTCGGGCGATTTGGGTGTCCACGGATGTATGCTGCGACGTTCTTCCTCATGATAGGCCAAAACACTCTCCACCGTAACAATTCAACGACACTTTCGGATCCCATATGAGCGCTATCATGAGTTATTCGCATCAGCCGCCCATGCCGATTCGATGGAATAAAAGGTATGTTCCTTCCGTCTGTCACAATCATCACATTATCATTTTCGACCCCCAGTCTGTCCCAAATTCTAAGGAGTTCCTACACCTCTCTTGATGTGGTCACTGGCTTGGTGCCAGCCTGTAAGTGAGAGCAAGGTCACTTCATGCATTTATCTGTCCTTTGATCACCCAGCAGATTCCGCTCTTCCACTGTGACTGCGCGCACAGGTATAGCGTTGTCTGGCATGAGGTCGTCCAATGGCAAGCGTGACGACATACCGGGTTGTATGTTCTGCTTTCCGTCTACCTGCTTGATGATAAAGTTAATTGCTTTCAGTAGGTATGTCCACGGCTCAAGGCGTTCCCGTTGATCTTTTGTTCTCATCAACCATGAACGTGGCTTATGGCCAGTGACGACAGAGAATTCAGTCGCTAGGAGGTAAGTTCTCCATTAGTTCAATGCCCACATGCTGACCAGAACTTCATTCTCCATTGCGGAATACTTCTGCTCCGCCACGGCCAGTATCGGCTCGCATATTACACCACCATGGTTGGTTGGGATAATAACGCATCGCTTGATACGTTGCTTGCGTTGTCTGCCACAGTAAGTCTTTCATCTGAATTGGGTAGCTGTAAGCATGTTGGGGCTTCTGCTTTGCATGCTTTTAGGTGATTAAAGGCTTGATCCTTTTCGGCTGTCTACACGAACGATTCTTCTTTGTGAAGCACCTATAATAACCGACTGATCCTCTCTGCAAAATGGAGCACAAACTTCGAGTCATAAACCACAAGTACCAGGAACCAACGCAAATAACACTTGGATTTCGGTACTTCAAAACTCTTGATCGTCTCACGGTGTTCCAGAAGCGGATGGACTTGTCCATTACCCACAATGTGGCAAGGACATACAATGGACACCTGCGCACTCCGTAACTTCTTGCAACTGAGTTTCAGACAAGCTTCTTCTAGTCTTTGTAGTACTACTGTAAGCCTGATACCATGTTCATGCTCTGTCTCGGAGAAGATGACGTCCTCTCTGTAGATAACCACGCCTTGTAGGTTCACCATGACAATCAGCAATAGGCGTCCGAACGTAGATGGTGTGTTACAAAATGCAAACAGCCTTTTTAGAAACTCGTACTGCTAGGCGTTTACACTGAAAGCCATCTTGTGGCGAGTTTCCTCTACGATGGGCAGCTGCCAATATGCCGACCGGAGGTCTAGCAAAGAAATCCGCTATAAATGCGCTATAAATGCTGGAAGAAATTTCTTCCGTCTGGGGCATCGGGAACGCATCCTTCACCATCGCTCTGTTCAGATCTCCGAAATCTATGCAAAATCTATAGGTACCATCGGCCTTTTTCGTCAGTAGCACGGGTGATGAATACAGGCTGTGTGTTCGCTTGAAGATTCCATTCACTTCCATTTCCATTACCTGATTTAATTTTATTTACGTCAGCGTATTCCGCCGTATTCTTCTGAAGATCGGCTTGCAGTGCCTTCCAGGGATTAATGGTATTCGATGTTCCACTCAGTCGCAGAATCCATAATCGTCATCTGTGTCCGTGAATAGGTGCGC